GAGGTAAAGCAATCAGCAGAAGAATCATTTAGAGTTGAGTACTTTGTTTTTATAATTGATCAAGCTCTATCTTCTCTGAGGACTCGATTTGAACAATTCAAACTATATGATGATATATTTGGATTTTTGTTTAATTTGAAGAGGTTAAGGAGTGCAACTTTATCAAGTTTGTTGAACTCTTGTATGAATCTTGAGAAATATTTTGAACATGATGGGCTTTCGGATATCAGTGGAGATGATTTATGTTTGGAATTACAAGTCTTGAAGATTTATTTACCAAATGAAGCAACAAGAGCAATTGAAGTGCTACACTATTTGAAGACATTGGATGTTTGTTTTCCAAATGCTTATATTGCTTACAAAATTTTGTTAACCGTACCGGTTACAGTTGCATCTGCGGAAAGAAGTTTCTCGAAATTGAAGCTGATCAAAACTTATCTCCGATCAACTATGTCACAAGATAGATTAAACGGGTTGGCTATGTTATCAATAGAAAAAGAAATGGTTAAGCAGCTAAGTTATTCAGATTTGATTGACGTTTTTGCCTCTAAAACAGCAAGACGAATAGTATTTAACTAATTGTTTGAAATTTTTGGTTTGATGATTTATAATATAATCGTTTCTATGATATATTTCGTTGTTGTTTTAATGTTAGTTTTTTAAGTTAGCAATAAGTCGCATAATACACCTTTGAATTTTGTCGATGGGGGGCCTAATTTTCATCATTCGCCTCAGGGCCCCTCAAACACAGGACCGGCTCTGCCAGTCACCCACAACTTCTTATCTTGTTTTGTTTTGCCTCTGCATATAACGAACAGAGCTGCGAGGAGAAAATAATCCGTATAAAAGCTTCCGGGAGATTGAGTAAATTCCATTTTTCAGGTAATTTGTAAAGATCTATTGTAAATATTTCGGGTTTCATCGTTTTCTTTAAAGTTTGAATATAATTTGTTGGTAATTTGTTTGACTTTTCACATTTTCCGCATCTAATGTATGTTGTTGCTAAGTGAAGTGTCCTTCTAAAGACGGAGAAAAATGTAGGTGAAATGAAATGGAGTAGACCAAAATATAATTTTGACGAAGAGATCATGATCAAAACTTAAAAGTGTTAGTTCGAAGATCTTGGTACCGTTCAGATTTGACACTTGTTTGGAGATATAGTGTGGGAATCTGATTACAATTTATTGTGGATTCTGGTTATTTTAATTATGTTTTGATTTATACATCTGCTTATGGTAAATATACTTTTTTCTTCAGACAGGACAAATTGAGGAATGATAAAGAAATTGAGGAATGTATATTTGACAGTCATTGCAGTCCGGATTAATACTTATCATGTTCATTTTTGTTGCAAAGAAGTCTCTGATAAAAAGAATCTTTGAACTTATTTCATGAAATTTTGCTATCTTCCCTGACCTTTAATACATGACAATAATAAATTGCACAAGTTTTAATACCTACAACTAGAAAAACGAAAAGATAAAAATGAAGCTGCAGTAGAACAGAATAGAGCTTCTTATTACCAAAATAAAAATAGAAAAATGCAGAGTGATATAGGTATTTTTATTATCAAATTATTGTAGCCATTTTACCCACAGGTAGTAAATGAGTCATAGCATTTTCAAACGAACCCGATTATTACAAGTGCACGGGATTCATTTTTTTCCCCTCCTCTCTGTGCTAATACGCTTGTTTACAGGTACCTCTCTCGTTGCTATTTTCTGTCTACTGTTCGTTGTAACTTAAATCTAACTGTACTTTCAACACCAAAAAGGCTCTTCAGTGGACTATAAATAATTCTTCATTCTTGAGGAAAGGAAACTCATCTTCAAGGTAACACAAGCTACTTTGTTAAACTACTTTATCCTGCTTTTGGTATTGCAATTTACCAATATACTTTATCAAGCCTTTTCATTCTCCCATAGTTGGCAATCAAATGAAAATTTTAGAGGTTTGATTTCTACTGGTTGTCTCTATCCAAATCCAAACTCTTAAATGAATACCACTTTTTTGCTCCAATGATGTATACAGTGTTTTCCTCTTGTATTGGGTCAACAATCAGATTGTTCTCACATATAGGTGAGATTCAAAATATTAAACAGCTAAGATTTAAATTCCAGTTCTTTGCAAGTGCATTTCAGTTTAATCTAATGCCAGATGTTCAGATTCTCTGTTTTGAGACTATGTTATCTGCTAATGCTGAATTATGTTTATAGGGCAGTCATGCATCAATCCTGCTAGATGCTAGTGAAAAATAGTTAATGAAATAGAATTCTGGATAGTGAAAAATAGTTATTGAAATAGAATTCAAAACCAAAAAAGAAGTTCTTTGATTATTAATGGTACTTGTATTTATAAATGATTTACATATGTTGAAGTTAGTTGATGGTAATGTTATTAGTTGACTTGCTAATGGTACTTTGGTTAATGCTCTGTGCGATCAAGATCAATTTAATTTCATCAGTTTCTCTGTACTTTTCGTAAAGATTCAATAGAATAGCTATTAACATCAATGAGTAAACCATTTAAAGCTCAAAATCCAGCTCAGCAGAAATCTATCTCCATAGACCAGCAAAAAGATATACCAGTAGACCAGCAGAAATCTATGCCAGTGTAGAGATATATGTCTAGGAAATTGAGAGATGGATTGCAAGGTTGCTTCCTTCTAGGCAGGTAATGTATAAAAAAGTATTGTACGTTAATAATTGGATGATGATCGCTTCGTGAATATTGAGCTATCAACATAGTCATATGACGATATATATGTTTTGCACGTGTAACTTTATTTTGTGGAATATTGTTTTGGAAGAAGTACATTCTTTCAGGTGGTTCTCCTTTTTTGCTTTTTGACTGGAAGGTGTTGAGCTACTTCTGGAAAGATGGCCATGATTAGAGAAAGAAGAAAGATGGAAAGGTAGTGAAGGAGGCTCATGAAAGGCTCAAGGTATATGCAGGATGATATTTCTCTGGTTCATGGACTTCAATTTTAATGGTAGATATCTGAAAATTTGCATCAGATTTTGTTCTTTGGTATGATTTATGGGTGGGTTTTAATATAAGCAAATCTATATACTGTGTCAGCTTATTTGTTTTCCTCCGTCCAATTAATCTGTATTTTAATCAGTTCAGGTTTAATTTTGATTGAATTGTATGGATTTTGAAGTAAATTGCTTTGATTATTGGAACTGATAGTTGACATTTTCTGATGTGTAGCCATAATTGACGCGCAGTGATAGTGTTTTGTTTCTTGTGAATGGTATACTTTATTTTGTCAATTGTTGTATCAAAGGATGTGCATATTTTTTATTTTCATGTTAATTTGAAATGTTGCAACAGACGAAACTTAAACTGGATAAGTTTCTTTCGACTTTTGCAGAATTTTCAGTTATGATTCTTGTTGTGGAATAGTAAGGAAAATTTGCGTGATAAACTCTTACTGCTTGCCTCTGTCTTGGAGTTAGTCGCTATCAAGTTTATGTAACTAGTGCAATAGAAATTATTGCTGGTGAAGTGATTTTCTGTCATAAACCTAAGTAAAAAATTTGATATATGTACTTGTTTTAGTGCTTTACATAATGTAAGTCGGAATTTTACTATGTAGGTATAGTTAAGACTCTTCAAGCAATTAACTCGACTTCTTGGCATGAAATCTTTTTAGGACTTAAGATGAGGGCTTGGACGAGGAACAAGGTGAGACTCTTTGTGGTGCCTATGGAGAGAACTATGCGTCAGATGAATTTTGGATATGCTGTGATGTATGTGATAAGTGGTTCCAGTCAAGCGCATGAAGATTACACCAGCTCAAGCCGAGCATATCAAAGCAGTAAGAGTGTCCGTCGTGCAGTAACAAGATGACCCTTGCTTGATGTGGAATATTAATCATACTACCTGAACTCTTGATAAACATTTCATGTCTTTGCTGTTTAAGTCATTTCTTGTTTGGTGTTACATATAGAATTAACTTTGAGAATGGTACTCTTGGTTATGGACCGAATATTAATACTTGAAAAATGTGCAATACAATTTTACTTCTGCGGCAATATGTTTCTTTTCATTTTTATTTTTTCCTATTATCGAAATTGTTAATTTCAACTGTCTTTGTGATTTCTGAAAATTGAAATATCGAACAAAATATTAGTAAGAGCAAAAAGCATTGGCTATTAAAAGATTGATATCAATGTTCACAACCAAAGATTGGTTGCCAAAGCCTTTAAATCAACTAGGTTTTCCTTTAGCAACCATAATATGGTCACTGGATGTCCACTACCAGTGACCACAACGTTGCTAACGACCTCAACTTCCACCGACCGCAAGTTGGTCATCGAAGGTCCACTACTAGCGACCACAACGTTGGTTGCTAACGACCTCAACTTCCACTGACCAAAGGTTGGTCTTTGGATGTCCACTACCAGGGACCACAGCGCTAGTCGCTAATGACCTTGACATTTAGTGACCACAAATCAACCAATTTTCCATTGTAATCAGCCACTAGGATTGAAACTTTTTGCGACCAATATTTGGCTGCTATTAGTTATATGTTTAGCAACCACAAGATTTTGGTCGCTGAAAACCTCCATGGTCTATTAGCGACCAACCAACGACCACAGTTATATGGTCGCTAAAGGTTTTTACCTACCAAAAAAACCCTTTAGCGACAAATTAATTAGTTGCTAGAAACTTTTTTTTTCCCCTTATTTTTTTTTTTTTTTTTTTTTTTTTTTTCTTTAAAAACCCTTTTTTTTTTTTTTTTTTTTTTTTTTTTTTCCAAGTGTGGCAACTACCCAAGGGATTCTTTTAAAATTCAATGCACTGGATTGCATCTCAGAAGAACAGGTAACAAAACTTTGCCTTTCGAAAATTCACATGACTCGCAATTATTTCCTCCGAATCTTTGAAATATAAGATGTAGAGATATCCATTTTTTTTCAAATTTTAATGGCGATTCAGGCCTTCTTTCAAACCTTGTCTAGTCCGTCTTCAAGTTGATGATTCATTGTCTCGATTCATTATGTCATTTTTCTCAATTTATATCTATCAAGTAATTTAAGTCCATTGTTGTGGAGGATAGCTATCAAAAAATGGATTGTGGAGGTCTTCTATTTGGTTAATATATCACTATTTGATATCAGAAATTCTTTTTTTTTTTTAACAGCTACTTTAGCATTATGCCCTGGGATGTGATCGAGGTCGTTAAATGAGACCAAATGTAATAAAATTTGGTAATTTATGACTTATTTGGGTTTTTGTTTGTCAGGTGAAACTTGGGGCAACTGGATAGGATTGGACAAAATGAACGAAAAATGGACAAAAAAGGAAGAAATATAAATTTTGGGACTATATTGCATATTTTCACTAGTTGATTCAAACTTAATATCGAGGATGGAAGAATGCGTGGACGCAATTGGATGAAAATAGAAGTGCAAGAATAAAAAAAATGAATCAAAGTGAACAAGAAACAAAATTTGGGGACTAAAATTGAACTTGGTGAAAAGAAAGAAACCATGTGTGCAAAAATCCAGGCACTTGAAGGAGAATGAAGCCAGCACCCTCGCGCCGACTTGTGAATAATTTAACCGAAAGCCAATCGAGGAGATGCATGGCCCCGGATTGAATATCGGCACGCACGCGAAGTGTAATTCCCAGGCATGTCCGCTGCAATTTCGGATTGAAGCAGAATTTTAATTAAATTACAATTTCTTCATGTGTTAGCTTGATTTTTTTACTCTTATAAATACAAAACTTGACCAACCATTGGGTATCTCTCTTGCCACTTTATATACAATAATATCATCAAATTCATCACTTTTGAGAGAGGAGATCAAACCATAACAAAAATTGAATGCCAATTACATCAAAATTTTGAAAAATTTAACATTGGACTTGAAGATCAACATCTTTTGCATTCTCTCATGACTCAAGTGATGATTTTCCATTAATCTTTTTGTAATTTATATCATGCAGGCTATATCCATTATTCATGGTGGATGAAGAAGAATCCTATTTTTAATTAAAGACTAGTAGTTTGTATTTCTTACATTTCTTGATTAATTTTGCATACTATTGCATTATTTAACGCCCATTTGGCTAAAAATGCATTTTGGAATAGTAGATTAATAGAGGATGTATAGTTAAAAAATATAAAAAAAAATAAATAAATAAATTTTGGGTTTATGTGTAATATTATTTTATTGAAGAAACTGGGATTGAAAATAAGAGAGAGAAAATGTATTTTGGAAATAATGGAGATCAAACAAGGGCTTAATTGTTTGGCCATCAATTAAATAATTAGTTGCTTGCTGAAGTGTTGGGAGATTCACAATAAATTTAAAATGCTACAAAATTGATATATGTACAATAAATATTAGGAATAATATTGTTGGCTATAAGCGAGACTTCTTAGGTAATCACAAAGAAAGTTAAGGGATGTACCTTTGGTGATCATGGGAGGATTGATCACTTAATTGTATCTTTACGATATCGTGATTATTGGCACATCGAGTAGGATACTTTTTGTGTGATCATAAGGGCAGGTAGAGGATGGCCTCTAGTGGTCACAGAACGATAGTCCACTCGACTGTGTCTAGTTGATTATTGATGTTGATATTGTACAAAGCTCTATTAAATGCCTAGTAAGTCTGTCAAGAGCCCATTAAAAATAAATGTTTTCAATGGAAATTATTTTGAGTTTACTTTGATGATTTTATCACGAGTACGAGATGATATTTTCCAATACTACAAGAATATTTCACCTCTTAATTATTATTGTAATCTATGATCAGTTTAGTGATGTAAACTCAATTTTTGATAAATGTGTATAAGTGAGAAAGTATAATTATTTTTGAACTTCTTCACTCGCTATCAACTAATATTTTTCCACGTTTTTCTTACCAAGTAGAATCTGAGTTTTGATAGTTTTGAAGAGCCTGTTGGTTTTATAGCAATGACCACATGACAATTTTTGGTTATTCTGTCATTTGAATTGAGCATGTAAACATCATTTTGGACCCACATTCTTTCAACATAAAATAATTTTTCATTATCTAGCATATGATAGGTAGAAGGTCAAAGTTAACCTTGGTGGTGGATTCGACACCTAGCTGGCATCCATCATTAGCACACATCACATTTTGGGTCCATTAGGATTATTTAAAATAGGTCGTGTTAGTTCTGTATCAAAGCATGGTTCAACGATTTTTTAAAGATCTAATAGTTCATGAATTTATTCTTTCGGCATAACGTTCTTGTTGAGATTGTTAGTAAAGTGGCGTGGAGGCAAAATTCACAGGCTCTAGTAATTTGCCCAAAAATTCACGTTGCTATCGAAAAAGAAAACAAGGAAACATGCAAATTGAGATGAGTTAGTATTTATATCATAGATTGAGGAATAACCTGTACAAGAAAATGTTGTTGAGAATGACCCTGTTGTTGAAAGAATTTCTATTGGGGTTGGATGCTTTAAGTAAGTGATACATAAAATAGATGATGAATACATAGTTGAAGAGGTAATAAATTTGGCTAAAGAATTTTGATGATTTTGGTATATTCCGTATATATATAATAAGTTATATTTTTGATTGCCAGTTCTTTTACGAGTATGCTAAGGATTGACCAATCTTGTGATACATGTACTTGGAGAAGAATCTGTGATGGAATTATGATTGTCTCAAGCAAATAAATGATGGACTACGAAATGAGAAAGATAAGTAGAGATAAATGGAGGTTAGAGAAGGGAAAGATTACTTGGCAATTTACTTGGTGGTGTAGAAAATCGGAAGTTAAGGAGATAAAAAACGATTAATTAAAGAGAAGGTGAAATTGAGGACAATGAAATCATATATGGAAGTACAGCAACCAAGGGAAATGGTGGGAAAAAAGAAGAATGTTGTAATGTGATCCAAATTCTAGTAAGTATTGGAATCGTATTTGAAGTAGTCTTGGAGAGATCAAAATTATGGACCGAAAAGAAAAGTCGTCGCATTTTCGCTAGACTATCACAAGCTAACTGCTTGAGCAACACCAATAGATTTTTTTACAGAAAACTGTCGATATTTTGTCACTCCTACCTCTGGAGTAATGGAGCTATCGCTCACTGCTACTCGAGTGACAGTGTTTCCCGAGTATTTGCATTTTAATGCATTTTGGAATCATATTCATCTATAACTTGGTTTCTAGGGTTATATGTAAGTCACAGCTTAGTTGTGAGCATTGAGATCTTGTTGTAAATACAATTGCTGTTTATTATAGTGAATTTCTTCTCATCTGTCCGTGGTTTTTTCCCACCTTAGGTTTTCACTTATATTTTTGTATTTTTTGTTTTGTTCATATTTACTTCATTATTGTCATAATCTTCGGATCAGTTCATAACAAGTGATATCAGAGTGAAGGTTGATTATTCTGCAGGCAACGATTAAGTTTGTTATTCTTTTATTGGATCAAAACATGGCATTTACTTTATGGCAAGTGAAGATGCAAGCAGTTCTCTCGTTGATGGATATGGATGAAGCCTTGCTTGGGCTTTGATAAGATACCTTCAACCTGGACACAGGATGAAAAGCAGCGTAGGGATAGAAAAGTCCAAACCTAATTGATCTACATCTATTAAATCAAATTCTTCATGATGTTCTTGAGGAGAAGAATGCCACTGCATTGTGGTTGAAGTTGGAGCAACTTTGTATGACAAAGAGCTTGACCAGCAAGTAGCACTTGAAACAACACTTTTATTCTCACCAAAACGTCCGAAGGTGTGTCATTGGATGATCACTTAACTATGTTCAAAGAAATCGTAGCCGATTTGATGACGATGACTTAGCATTGATGTTGCTGTGTTCACTGCTGCCATCATATGTGACTTTTAGATATACTATTCTCTATAGTCGGGATATTTTCATTGTTGAAAAGGTCTAAAATACTTTACTATCTAAGGAGAAGATGAGGCATCTTGCTATAGGATCTGGGAGTCAGGCGAAAGATTTGGTTGTTCGTGGAAGAAATCAGGATAGGAATTCTGGCAGAAATATAAGGGGCAGT